GGGGGCAGCGGCGGGCTAGCCTGCGGAGGTTGGGGGCTGCCTGCCCTCCGGGGCGCGAGGCCGGCCGAGGACCGAGGGCCCCCGAGTCCCTTCCCAAGTGCGCCGGGGCCTGGGGATGCTGGGGCGTGGGCGGGCACTGGAGTGGAGGCGCTCGGGGGCTCGGAGCGTGGAGGACTCCCCGGGGGGGCATCGTAAGGGGTGCAGAAGGCCGAGACCCCGGGTGGGCGGCGCTGCCGTGAGTGTCAGCACCCGCCAAGGGCGACTCGTCTTTAACCCGGGGCTTTGTGTGAGAAGCAGGCGCGAAGATGCGCGCAATGTTCTCCCTTCGTGCGCCTAAGAAGAGTTAAGAGTCCGGTAACCAGAGGATTGTCTTGCTAGTAGAAACTTGAACGTTTCTTCACTCCTCGGGCTTGGGAACGTTTTAATGGGCTTGGTCCTGTAGAATTGACCGAATGCTTCATTTTTCTCGAAGGGATCGTTGCTTTGGTATATCATTTCCTTAAGTGAAGGTAGTTTTAGAAACAGACCTCTGTGTAGCTGGATTTTGAGGGGAGGATGTTGTGTGGTTTTCTAAAATATTAAAGCCAGTCGTGATACTGGTTGTCACCCCGTGGAGGGAAGAGTGAAAAACTTTGTCAGTCGCCGAGTTAAAATAGGAGAAAGCAAAATACCTAGGCTTAGCATTAGCTACTAAAATGCAGTGAAAATACATTTCTGTTGCTGAAAGTGGATAACAAAATTTTTAAAAAGCAAAACAAGCCAAAAAAAGGCTCTTTATAGACTGTGGATGCCAGCTATTATTAAACTTAGTAGTTACTACTTATTAGGAGTCGATTATAATGCATATACAAAAGATACACCATAGTACAGTGTCTGACACCCATAACTGAACCCTCAGGGCTACCAGTAAGTGTCCTGTATATTGACATGAAAAGTACGGTGCAGGCGATTAAGTTCTTACTAAGTGCAGAAGTTAGAATTTGTACTTAGGCCTTTCTGAGTTCAAAATCGGTGCACCTGCTGCACCAAAGTAGCATAGCCCACTTAAAGAACAGTTGATATTTTAATACTTACAACTTAGGTATCTTTCTTACTTTATTTGAACATTCCTTTCACATAGTTCTGCGTTAGAAGATACAGTGGGTTTTTAACATTGGCTTAGGAGGGAAGATAACTGTGGGCATAGTGGGAGAATTGTTATAATTATGCAGCAAATATAAGTGGCCATTACTCTACACAATTATTTGGCTAAAGTAATTCATTCTTTTCTACCTAGGACAAAGCAGGACACATTCATGTGCTTAGCAGTGTTGATTTGGATGCTGAGAAAGTTGGTCCATGCCCTCCCTGGAGGACTTTATCTCCTACTTAGGCAATTGTGTAATGCAAAACTGGCCTAGATGCTTTTATTACTCAAAGCCTAGACTAACACTTCATAAACTTTTCCCATTTGCCACCTTCTTTTCTCAAGAAATTGTGTGTGACCTTAAGTATATAGATGTAGAAACCTAGTATATAAATCAAACATACTGATAATAGATCAAAATAAAATTATTCTAAAATTCATTGATACATACAGCTTTACCATTTATTAAAGATTAAAGCAAATTTTTGTAGTAATGAGTTGGGTGAGTTTATTTTTACATAAAGAATTAAATCATCTGATGTCACTTCACATAATTACATATGTTTAGGGCCATTTCAGAAATTGTTGGAAATTCTGTCTTAATCACAAGATCACAAGATGAGATTCATTTAACAATGCTTTTTAAAATGAAACTTACAGTTTTTAAAATCAACATTCTAACATAATATGATCAAGGATACACCACTTTGATAGACATGAGGAATGAAAGTCTTTTCTGTAGTTAACCATTATGTTTTTGAAAGAGTAGAAAATTTTGTATGTATAGTAAAAACGTTAAAACTCACCAAGTAATATCTAGACTCTGTTGGCACTATGTAACAGGACATGTGTGTTCAGAACCAAGGCTGTAGTGAAGTTGCATGATTCAACACAAGCATGCACTGCCCGAAACACCTCAGATTCATTACTCATTTGATTTTGACTTAGTTTTTGGATGCTGTGTATTCAGAAGCCCTTTACTGTTGCCAGAGTTTTTGTGACCCTCCCCCTTTATATGGAGT